TACAACCCAGCTAGAAAAGCAGTCCCCTTTGCAGTCTGCTTGCAGTCTCCTTAACAGTCCCCCCATGGAGCCTGCTTTGCAGTCTCCCTAGCAGTCCCCGCTCCCACGGCAGTCTCTTTTGCTGGTATCCTTAAGTATGGAGGGAGTCTCCCTGGCAGTCTTAATTTGCATTTTTGGAACGCGCTGCCAGGGGGACTGCCAGGGCAGTCTCCCTGGCAGTCTGCTTGGAAGCCCCTCTAGCAGTCTACTCTGCAGTCTTCCTAGCAGTTTGCTTGGCAAAATAAAAAGACAAAAATATTTTTTTTTTTGTAACTCATACATATGTATATTCAAACAATAATTACATTTATCAAAAGGAATCTAAGTATCCATTTATCTAACATATTTTTTTATTTCTCTTCAATATTTAAAATTTTATACTTCTAAACTACTATATTAGAAATCTTACCCCCCCCCCCCAACTTACACCTATTGCAAAATGTTGAGATCTACTATCTACCAGTTACAAAAAGAATATAGAAATAGAGCACATGCAAACTAGAAACATCCCAAACAGAAGCCATCTCCTGTAAATAATATGAATGAAAGGTCTTTCCTGGCCCTTTCATGGAATATAAAAATGTGTCAAGAAGGTTGCCAAACAGCAGGTCACATGTGAGTAAATTAGAGATTTTTTTGCAATGTTTGAACGTGAAAGTATTCCTTGTCCTCAGCTAAGTCAATATGAACTTGTTGTACATGATAGAAAATATTGATTTATGTACTTTATGCATAAGCACCAGGTAAAATATAGTTCTGTTCTTTAAATGCTTATATAACTAACAGTTTCTCATATCTCATATGAAATGATGTCCATGCAAGCCTTCAAATGGTCTTCCATTTCTTTGCCTTTGCTCTCTTTGAAGTCAGCACACTTCGCATGGCTGTGTGGACATCACCCGGCTTTGTCAACGTCTGTGATGTACATGTGACTGGAAGTGTAGAATAGATAAATAAATTCAACTGGTAAAACATGTTTGTACATTGGTATTTCACGTGACCCTAGCTCAGAAAAGAATCACTCAAAACCTAAAAATTATATATATATATATATATATATATATATATATATATATTAACATAACCAATTAAAGAAATAGTTTCCAATCCTGAAACATCAAAATTAGTTGATCTAGTTATATATATATATATATATATATATATATATATATATATATATATAGTAGAGATATCTATCAAATTACAAAAAAGGGTGTATTTAGGATTAATTATTGGTAGTGGGGTGAGGTGGGGTTGTGGGTGTGTGGTGCTCCCAGCTCTTTGATAATAAATCTTTTTTTATAAATAATAATAATATGCATTAACCTTCAGACAAACAATACTTTGGCCTAATGTGCTAGCTGAACCGTACAAATAGATACTTTTTAAATAATTTAATGGCACTTTTGTATCAAGATCAACCATGTTTTTATATAAGGGGAAATAGTTTTTATATTCTTGCTTTACTTACTTTTAATTTGCCTAATGATGTTCTGGTCCAGCTGCTGATAGTTGCCAGTTGGAGACAGGCTTCCACTGGCCAGTTGCTCATTAGAGAAAAAAATTCCCAAGAGGGTCCTGGCCAGTTTCCGCCCATCTCCAGTGGCAACTTTCCTTTTGATTATCATCATTTGGTCTGGGTGTACAAAGAGCCCACTTCCCGGATTAACTTCCAACATCTGATGTTCAAAAAAATCGGTGTGAAGATTATATATTATGTAATGTATAATCTTTTTTTAACTTTTATGAATAATCTTTCAGATTATTTCAGCATTACACTCAGGTGACTGAACAAATCATATGAATGTATCATTTTATACATATATAAATCTTCGAATAAATTGACTTTAAGGCCCATTCTTCTAGGCTGGTTGGGCTATTTGAATTGAACATTCTTAGTAATCATTATTGATAGTACTAGTGTAGACACAGTTATAAACTCAGAGTCTGACATCCGAACATTCAAAACTGTGATAGATATATTTTAAATATAATGTCACTTTTCAATAAAAATATAAAATTCTATACAGTTTAAAAAATGTTTAAAAATGTCTTACTCCAAATAGCTCCACTTCTTGTGGTGTACAGAGGCCAGCATTGGGGCGGCTGAGACAAGACTCTCCTTTGGAGGTAGATTGTTTTCCTACTGAAATGTAGTAATTTTGAATTACACTTATACATGTACTTTGTACAACATCATATTGCATTTTTAATTGAAGTATCCATTGTTTACCTACTGTAATTTAATTCTAATATGTATATGTAAGGTCCATATTTCCTAGCAAGTATTCTAACAATTACTAATTTTGAATAAACAAACATACCAAGTTTAGCCTTTTCTGTCTTCAGAGTGCTGACCTCTTCCATCAGGTCAACTATTCTCTTTCTTAGTTGTTTGTTTTCTTCCTGCATGCTGGCACAGGCGGCACACCCCACCTGTGGCCTGGGTTGTTTCTGGGCTGTGGTGGGGTGGCCCTTATCATTGATAGAACTGGGAGCAACCTCCAACAGTTCCTTTGAAAAGTCTTCCATAGATTCATCTAATGATGAATCTAAACTAGAATCTATGGAAACCTCATCAATATCACTGTCCGAGAGCTGCCCCCTTAGTTCTTCAAGCAGTGCCTCCTTTTGTTGAAAGGCAACTTCACGCAGAAGGAGCTTGTCGGCTTTCTGCTGCTCCAATTTCTGCCTCTTCTCTGAAGCAACCCCTAAATAAAATGCAATAATTCTGTGTTAGACATGCTTATCATAAATTATTATTTTAAAATCTTTTGAATGAAAATAAATGTTTGAATAAAATATGAAACACTTAGCTTGAAGTAGCAGTGATGAGAAAGGGCCAATGAAAAAAAAAAGAGCAAAACTCATAGAAAAATAATTTTCCTAGGGTAAACTGTAATTTGAAATTGCAGTTTTCATTGGATTTGACATTCACATGATACATGAAGTGTGAGCAGTGAGGATAGGTGGACCCAGCATTCAAGAAATGAAGACAAATAAACTGGAATTTAAGACCATATATCTAGGGGAACAAAATGTGACCTTAGTAAGTCATTAAGAAGATAAAAGATTATATACAAATGAACCAATTTTGACTATATGTATCTAAGAGATATTTAGCCTTACTTCCACTTGAAGATAGAACTACATGTAATTATTAATAAAAACAAAATCACAAACCTACTAGTACATGATTCTCATGTAGCACACAGCCCTAATAATTTTTTCATTGTTGTATAAGGAAATAATATGAACTGTAAACTTACCAGGTTCATCACAGCTGGTTGATTTTTTATCTATAAAATAAATCAAACTCAAATTATGTTAAAATATGCATAACTTGGACATGATCTCAGTCCTGTAATGCTGATCAGTATACCTGTAAGTCCAATACATGTAACTCAAATACATGTACCTTAAAGTCATTTTTAAAGGAAATTATATGTAGTTTCCTTTTCTTTTTAATATATACTCAAATATCTGACCCATTAGTCAGTGATAATATATTATTGTCTATTCACATATTGCACCAATTCACACTTTATGATATCTGAGATATAACTGTATTGAATTTATCCAATATATAATCTAAACCATTGCACTATTGCAGTTGCAGTTTTTGGAAATTACTTACTACTGGTAGTTTGGGAGGGATTCTTTTTGACTTCCTTTTGCTTCTTTTTGGTGCATGATTCTTTGGTTGCTGAAAAGAAAAGTAATTTGAAACCATTAATGAAAAAAAAAAGAATCCTAATTGCTCACTGACAGCTTTTGAATGTAAAGTTAAAAAGGAGCTAATTTTACAGAACTACTAGTAAGTCAAAGATAGCTTCAAAAAGTTTGCATTATCAATATTTATAAAAGTCAAATCTGCAGTTTCAGGAATTTACTTACTATTTTGGGAGGAAGTCTTCTTTTTAGTTTCTTCTTTTTGTTTCTTTTTCATACATTCTTCTTTGTTGGCTAAAAAGAAAGGTACACTGTACATGAATTTACCAGACTAAGGAACTTTTCTTTTCTGCAAATATATCACTACAGGGATAGTATAAATACACCTGAATTATTATAAATCATGTACACTAGTCTAAAAAATCATGTAACCCTAGTCTAAAAAAAATGACATTATTAAGAATGCCTTTGAAAAAAATAAGTGGATTGCAGGGAAGTATACTAGTGACTGCATTCGCTACCTGTACAGTCCTTAACACAAATGGGAGGTGTGCCTTTATTAATTTTGTTAGAATATTAGTTTAAAACAAACACAGACATGTGCCCCTCCTTTACACATTTTCAATACTGGAAATGAACACTTACTAGATTTATAAAGCACCTTGGCTTCATAATCCTGCCCAGCATATGGGGCTATGCACAGGGCTCCTTCCTCAATTGAGCCATCTTGGGCTGTGCAATGGCCCTCTAGAGAAGTAACTTGGTCTCCTTTGAGAAGACTGAGTACCCCATCTAGTACAAATTGCACCACCACCCACACAACTGAAATATATATATATATATTTAGATATAATAATAAGGCTATGTCCTATGTAGCATATATATATATATATATATATATATATATAAAGTTCCAATTATTAGGGATAACAAAGTTTTTTAAAAAGTTATTAGCAACTTAAACTCACCATTCACCCTCAAAAAGAGTTAAATGCCAATTTTTTATATTAATAAAAAAATACATCCATCAATCTTTACATATTTAATGGGGTTAAACCTTAAGGGAATTGTTCAATTAGCTTAAGTAAAAATTGAAAACATTGGACATTTGTTCTTGGATAGTTTAATTGGACTGATTTGAAGATCAAGACAATAAGGGACTATGAAGTACATAAAAAGGGCCCCAGAAAAATCCAGTTTACCCAAGGAAAATTCATTTCAAGTTCTGTGAGTTGTGGTACTGTGACATATATTTCAGTGCTTCTTTTCTAGGGGTGTAATGTGTATTATGAGAAAGTGAAGGTGACTTATCTCTTGTTACGGATAGATGACAAGGGGAGAGAAATAAAGTCAACTTCAACAAATCTGGATGAACCAGACAAGCTGCAATTATATAATTCAGCACATGTGCAGCTGAAACTGAATCCCACTTCTGATGTAATAAGCCTTTCTGCAGAGTCCAACCTGCTGGACTCTATTCAAGAGAGAGACAACAACTTACAGGAAAGTTTTATTGTGAAGTGTTGGGCTTGTATGTACTAGTATATACATGTACATTACAAAGTATCAGGAACATATGTTTGCTTTAACAATGGCTGGGAACTGTTGTCATGTTATATCTGTAGGTGACCAGGGTCATTTAAAGAATGACTATAATGGAGCTTTCTGACCTTTAATGACATTTAAAAAAAAGGGATTTGTGTTTGAAAATGCAAATTAAAGACAAACCCTGCAAGTTGTGGCATTAAGATTAAAACTTTTACTAATAATAATGTCTTCTGGAATAAAAGTTAAAAAGGGTAAGGATAAAAAGTGTCAATTTGTCAAAGCTAATAGCCTGTATTCTACTAGGGATATCATCCTTTTAAGTTTATAGGCCTAAGTCAATGCTTCACACAGTAGCGAGGATACAACTAGACTAAATAAAAGAATTACTACTACATTATCCTTGCCCAATAAGCCAATATAATTTTCTACAAGCATGCACCCCATACTAAAATGATCATTCCAAGCCTGCTGTATGAGTGAGCTTAAATTTCCAAACAAATTTGATCCTGTCCAACAGGTCACAGGTCAGCTCCAAATAATAATTGCTTCTACTCCTTATCTAACATTTTAGGCAGTTTTGACCTAAATTTACACCCAGTGTTTATGTGTAATTCTACCTTATCATTAATCATCAGCTATGGGGAGTACATTCATCAGTGAGTTTCTGAAGGGCCATTACTAAACAAGGAATTATAAAAGTCTGCTTCTAATCATCTATTCTGAATAAGACACAGAGTAAAATTAGAATTATTTTCTTCTGATTTATTTGATTTCAAAATTTATATACATTTATTGATAAAAATGTTTTGAATATTTACAAAACATTGAGGAATTAATTAGAATAAATAAATCCCAAATTGTGTGAAAGTGATCATAATAATAAATTTAAAAAAAAGTTGGGACTTAATTATACTCATTAATATCTTCTATACTAATTTTGCCTAAATAAGTTTGGTCCATATAGAAGAAAAATAAAAAGTGTCCCATATCAGTTGAGCTAAATGTATACAATAACATTTTATAAAACACACATTGTAACAAATTAAAATTGCATATACTGGCCTATTTAGTGATGACATAACTGACCCGTTTTCAATACATTGGGGATATGCTATGACCCAATTACTAGCTGTGGCCATTTTTCCATTTGTTGCTCTCTGTCACTTTTTAGGGAAATGTTAATTATTTGTATGTCAAAATAATAATAAAGGTAAAAAAAGGTAAGGTGAAGGAAGTTGTTTTGAGGTTATTTAAAAATATTTATTTTTTATGATACTATTGATAAAATGATGAAATTGAGCATGGAATAATTTCTGCAGCCATGCATGCATAAATTATATTTGTAAATTTAACAAGCAAATATTGTCAGTTACATACATGCAGTACGTATGTATGCAAACCAGTTTAGAGCAACATTTTGTTGATCTAACCTAATTAATTGATCAAATAACAAAAATTCCATAAACTTTGCCATTTTTATCCAACGTTTAAAAATTTTAACGATCTCCCTGAGACGTAAAAGGTAACCACCCAGTCTAGCAGATTTAAATTTAAACGTAATTATACAACACGTTTAAGGAGGTTTAAGTTAAATGCTTGATTTTAAACGTTGATTAGTGCTATAGATCTACGCCCCTTATGCAAACGGGTAATATGGAATATCGGGCGTACAAATTACAATAAAAAGTTACAACGCTTCTTATCTAAAAGTAAAATACTTACTTTCACTTTGTTTGGTCACCGTCTTCACGGACCTCTTCTTTTCGGACTCCATCACAATTTCAGTATTTCAAACTCTGTGCACTCCGAAGAAACTTGCAGAAAGATCTTGAAACCGTTAGTAACTTTTAATTAGTACAACCTCGCACTACTGGGAAGTTTCGCGCCTAGACGCGCAGAGCCTGTCACGTGACCTTCACTCAAGACGCAAAGTTGGATCTGCACGTGAACTCCCAGAAACTAACGAAGTTTGCGTCGTGTATGCGCTTAGAAGGTAAGTGGATATTTAGGGCATTTTTCACTGCGATGAGTCTTATGTGCGTACATTAAAGTGCCATTAATTATTTTAGATAGGTTGCGACACGTTTTCTTCAATTTCACTGCAGATCTTTTGGCCCAATCTGCCGTAGAAACGCAAATCTTACGTAACACTGCATTCGATCATTCAGTTGTTGAAAACGGGATTATTCTACATAAATGTGTAAAAGTCAGATTTTAATCATCCTAAATGAATCATGTTCTAAAGCGTTAAATTAGCGGTATAAGAATCGTTGGGAGAGGGCTTTGTGCTGTATAGCCTAGTTTGGCCTGGGGACGCTCCTTTCTGAATAGCATTGAGAAGGGAAAATATGTACGCTTAATTGTACGTTAAATAGATAGATATACTGATGGATAGATGTTAGCTTTTGGTCATGTCTATCAAGATCCAATCAAGTGTATACAAAAAATAATCAAGTGAATAGCAAGACCGTGAAAAAAATTTTCTCACTTTTATTGAGACGAGCGTATCGCGATTTCCCACCCCAGATTAGATCAACTTATTAAAAAAAAAAAGCATGTGGGCTTTTGTGGTTATGATAAAAAAGTTTTGTACATATAAAGCCTACATGTTGCCACGTAGAATTATTTTCTAAGTGACCATCATTTCAGAAATGGAAGAAACCTCGAGCTCAGATACTACACTCAAAAGACGTGGACCATATAAAAAGTCACTAATTGGATTAAAATCGCCAAGAACAACGCTTTGGCGAAATAAATCTGCAGTAAAGTCCTCTGACGACAGTTATGAAGTTGAGGATGATGATAAAGGGATATTTTCTGAAGGTATGTTTATTCCATTTGATATTAAATTGAAATGCTTCTTAATGAATGTTTGTAATTCTTGTCAATCTCCGTCTACATTTATATATGGCTAGATGCAGCCAGGGAATAGAAATTGCTAAAACTCTGCTAAAAGAGTACCATATTATAATCTTCCTGCACTCTGCACTTGCTATTCACTGCTTAACATCAATCAGATGTGTTATTTGGCAAACTTCCATTGAGTTATAGCAATTGCTAATCAAAATGGGAATTTTGTTTAGATGTGTAGATGTAGCGTGTATATTATGTAAAGAATACTTAAACAGTATTAATGTAAATGATGCCCTTGAAAGGTTAAAAAATGAACAATTAAACCAAAATTAACAAGAACATTTTACCGAAAAAAATGTCCTCTGATTGTACAATGTACATTTGTGCAATTGTCCTTGCATTATTCATGTTTTCATTAATTATGTAGCTCCTGTGGATGATGGTTGCAGATACGAATGTTATGCTGATGATGAGGATGAAGTTGTCTCAGACGAAGAAAAATCTGGAGATGAATATACTTACAGTAAATTACTTTATTTATACTTGTTAAAGAGAAAGAAATATTTTCATTTCATTTGTCTTCTTGACAGCTTCCGTTTCTTGGTCTTCTTAATAACTTCCTTTTCTATTGAATAAATGCTGATCACAACAGCTATTTGCTTTCCCTAAAATTTCCATTTTATTTACTTTAATCTACCAAAAATTTTAATTAAGAAAAGAAGTCAAGGATTACATAGTAAGCTAAGATTTGTTCAATGTATAGTAACATTTTTTGTTACATTTTACTTGAAATCATGATATTTATAATTATAAAAGATAGCAAATGTTAAGGGAAAGTACACATTTAGGAGAATTGAATTCTATAAAAGTCATGTCCCTAGTGCTTCTATGTTGTATCTGTCACATATTACCTACTGAAACTGCAAGCCCAATATTGGTTGTAAAATGCTCTGGATTAAAATGACTGACAAAGCTCGTGCACCAGGGTATTGATTCATTGAATACAAGTTCTCAGAAAGTTCACTTTCCCTTTAAATCCAACATGGATATCAATTAATATTTAAACTTAGATATACACTTGTTTACTTTTTCTTATGTTTAGGAGAGCCTTCTGGTCCAGCGCATGAGCCTTTGTACCAGGGAGCCAGGCTGACATTGTTTGAAAGTATGCTGCTGATCATGGTCTTCATTATGAGGCATCAGTTATCTGGGGAAGCTACCAATGATCTTTTAATGTTATTGGAACTGCACTGCTTGATGCCCAACATGTGTAGACGCAGCATACATCTTTTTTATTCATTTTTCAATGAGCTGAAGACCCCAGTACAGAAACATTTTTACTGCAAGTTTTGTAATACCTACCATGGTCCCACAAGTCAACCAATTTGCACCTCATGTAACAAGCAGGAAGAAGGATATTTTATGTACATTCCACTGTTTGGGCAACTGCAGTCTATTCTCACAGGTTTTTAAAAATTTCTTTACTTTAAAAATTCCAATCATTAATTCATGATGAATTTAATTAATATTGATGGCACAGACCGGACTCATACAGCAAGCAGTTGTATTAGGCTGTATTCCCAGAGCTTTTAGATCGATCTATCCCCATGGGGAGTCTCACTAGATTACTGTCAGATAATCCGACTTAAATGTCTGTCCCTCCTACTACAAGCTGTAAGGGGGTAATTAACTTTCGTGTCTGCTTGGCTGACAGCTATTTAGCCTGAACCCCCAGGGAGTTAGGGTAATCTAAAGTAGATCGATCTAATCTCTGGAAATGGGGTCTTAAACTCTGCTGTCCTGGATTTTTTAAGTTTGTGCACAAGTTGATTATTCAGTTTCAATTTTAGCATGCATCAAAATATCAAAACATTACATCCAAATTTGTAATACAACTTTTTGAAACTGAATTTTTATATGTTCTTCTAATACTGACAAACCAACAATTCTAAAACCATGTTAAAACACTTTATGAAGCTCTATCTTTCAAATTTATTTTAGGTGTATCTAAGTACTCATTAGTACCAAGCCTCAGCAGATCAGAACAGTCTAATGACAGAATTGAAGATGTGTATGATGGCAAACTGTACCAACACTACTTTCAAGATGGTTACTTTTTGGGAACAAGTGAGGAGCAAAAGACCAGGGAGGTGCACTTGTCCCTACAGTTTAACACTGATGGGGTCTCAATATTTAGATCTTCATCATTCAGCATATGGCCAGTTTATCTTACCATTAATGAGCTAAACAGTGAAAAAAGGTGAGTTGTGTTAGTGGTTACAAACAATTTTAGCTCCAGAATAGACATGAAAGTCATTTTAATGTCCAGTATATATTTGCATGTACAATATATTTTTCTGGAATTACAGTAAAATAAAAAAAATTATTCCTGTTCTGTCATTAACAGATTTTGTAGCAGTACTTTCCACTTATACTGTTTAAAATCACAATAACCTACTAGTATTCAATGGATCATTTTTGGTTCAATATAGGTACAAAGCTGAAAATCGTATATTTTCTGGGCTTTGGTTTGGGGAACAGAAGCCAATAATGAACATCTTTTTGAAGCCACTTGTGGAGGAACTGTCTATGTTGTATAGTAAAGGTAGGTACAAATGGTATCTTATTTAACTCACTCTAATATAGAACACAAGACAATGATTTCATTATATTTATAACTTATTTCTGACAGTTTTTAATCTTTAACTAGATGCATGGGTACTGTGAGCTAAAAATGGACCAGGACTTGCAGAATTTGAGACAATGCATGGATAAAATATTGATTTTAGATATTTTTAAATGTCAGAAAAATTTGAATGCCATGCTTTTTTCAGATACATTTGGTCATTTAATTCCTATTTATTGACAGGAGCTGAAATAACTTTGGATGGTCAGCCATTCCTTCTCCGAGCTATGTTACTTAGTATTGTCTGTGATGCTCCTGCCAAGTGTTTAGTACAGAATTTCACACAGTTTAATGGATTTTTCGGCTGCGGTTGCTGCTTGCATAAAGGTGAAAGTGTGAAAACAAGTGCAAGGGGGTCCATGATGGCATTTCCATTTCACACAGAGCCTGATAAGCCAAGGGACCATGCTGAAACTCTGAAATATGCAGTAGAGGCAGAGACAACTAATAAAACTACATGTGGTGTAAAAGGGTTTAGTGTGATGTCTCGTTTGCCAAATTTTGATGTTATCCGTTCAGTTTCTATAGATTATATGCATTGTGTTTTATTGGGAGTTCAGAAGATGCTGCTCCATTTGTGGTTAGACAGTAGTAACAAATCAGAGCCATATTATATTGGAAATTACATGTCTGTGTTAGATGATAGAATTAAAGCATTAACTCCTCCAAATGTAATAAACCGCTCACCAAGGGCTTTTACTGAACTTAAGCACTGGAAAGCTTCTGAATTCAGATCAATTCTTTTATTTCATTCTGTAGCTTGTTTAGTAGGCATCCTACCATATGAATATCTTAGTCATTACTTTTTTCTTGTAGAATCAATTTACCTTCTCCTCAAATCTAGTATAACCACTGCTGATGTAGCAAGAGCAAGAGTTCTCTTGAAGTTATTTTGTGCCCAGATTGATTGCTTGTATTCACCTCGGAATGAAACATACAATGTACACTGCCTTGTTCATTTATGTGACAAGGTGACTGAATTGGGTCCCTTATGGACACAGTCTTGTTTTTTTTATGAAGACCTTAATGGAGATTTGAGAAAACTTTTCCATGGGACAAGCTCTGTGGAATTACAGATTTCATCTGCTGTTGTTATTCACCAACAATTACCAGAATTAGTAAAGCAATTACTTCCAGGTACAGAAGCTGAGATATTCTATTTTAAGTTGGCAAAGAAAACATTACCTCACAACAGGTCACTGCTTTTTGGACACAATTATGCAATAGGACATTTTGTTAGCTGTAATCTTTTAGATAGAACTAGACAACTAATAGAAGATATTTGTGGCCCAATCAAAAGAGTACAACAATTTTGCCGCCTTCTCATGAATGGCATCACCTTTCAATCTCTTTCGTACAGGAATGTGACGAAGAGAAATAGTTACACTGTTAGATGTTTAAGTAGAGAAAATGGTATTATTGGACAAATACAATATTTTTTAAAAGTAGAGGACTGCACAGCTGAAATTAAATACCTAGCCATCTTAAAGGAGTTAGAAGTAGAAATTAGTGAAATAAAGCTACCACGCCATTTTAATCTAGTTAAAATTACAGACAATGATAGAGTTGTAGAAATACAGGACATAAAAGAAATGCTCTACTTTAGCAAATGTGTAGCTCTAGATAAGTGTTTTGTTTGCAGCATGCCCATGACAAAAGAGCATGATTGAAGCTTTAACTTTTTGTAACTACATGTGTTATCTGTGTCAATTAAATATACCAAAGTCATATTCAAAAAGATTTTAGCAGTTTGTTAGCAGTGTTTAAATTGGCAGTTGTGAACAGTGCAATGTTGTCTGAATTGTTTAAAGAAATAATAACAATATTATGTACAATAAAGCCAAATGATTTGGATTTTTTTATATAAAAGTCAAGCATTTAGAAGTGTAACTGGAACAATCTTGAAAACCATTTTTTTTACAACTGTTCAGTATTCAGCCAGCTGTTTGTGGATCTACTGCATTATATAAAAATGTCCATGATATACAATTTTAATCAGTTGCTGGTTAAAGTTTGAGAACTATATAGTGGTGTCAAGGTGTTCCTAATCTTCTGAAAATGTTAGCTATTTCAGTTTAGTTTGCAGTCCCTTGTGAAAATTTTTTCAAGTTATTGCAGCCTCCTTAGCAGTTCCCGCAAAAATGTTTAAGTTATTGCAGCCCCTTTTGCAGTCCCCGCAAAAATGTTTAAGTTATTGCAGCCCCCTTTGCAGTCCCCTCCAAAAAGTATTAAGTTATTGCAGCCCCCTTTGCAGTCCCCTCCAAAAAGTATTAAGTTATTGCAGTCCCCTTTGCAGTCTCCTCCAAAAAGTATTAAGTTATTGCAGTCCCCTTTGCAGTCTCCTCCAAAAAGTATTAAGTTATTGCAGTCCCCTTAGCAGTCCCCGCAAAAAGTATTAAGTTATTACAGCCCCCATTGCAGTCTCCTCCAAAAAGTGTTAAGTTTTTGCAGCCCCCTTTGCAGTCTGCCTGCTCAAGGAGACTGCACACTGGAGCCCCAGACTGCAAAAGAGCAGTCTCCCTGGCAGTCTCTCTGGCAGCTGGGGCTCCTGTGGGCAGCCGGGACTCCCATTCTAGCTGGGTACAGATACATGTTTGTGAATTTCAAAACAATTCAACTGGGGGTAAAATTCTAAAATATGTTAATGTCACAGGAGAATGGCCATTCTTTAACTTCTCTACAAATTTTGCCTCTTGTTTATTCTGCATCTTTATTTACAGTATTAAATGTTTACCAATAACTGCACTGATATCATCATTTCATAACAACCAGCCCTCATTCATCAATATTTAGTGAAACCAGGGAACAAGGTCCTACTGGCAGACTGCCAAGCTTAAAAGATCACGTGTGACTGAAGTTCTGGGTCACGTTGTTCACTTTGTAAGGGGAATGGCTGTTTACTCAATACACATTGAGTCCATGCCTATTTATATGGGTGAGATCAGCTTCAGTTGAAAAAAATTCCATATAAAACCTTTTGCACTGACATGAAAGGATATTTAGAAGAAAATGTTACTGTAAAAAACAGTTTCAAAAAATAAATGAGAACTTGAACCCTGTAACTCATGTGAAAAGTACTTCATGTACTGACCTATGTGTACTAAACAGATGATCTCGTTCCTAGTTTTTCCAAAGATGAATGAACACTTTCATGGCATGACCTATATCTGTACTATGTAAGTGCATAAAAGTTACACTTTCATCATTCTATAATTAAACACAAGTTCACACATACCTGAGTGTCTCAATTTAGACGTAGATGGTGGCAATTCTGTCAAAAATTTTTCTAAGCTCTCTGAAATGGACTTGTTCTGCAAGATAGAAAGAGGCATTTATAATAACTTAATAAGTTAAAAATGCTTTCAGATTTGAAAAATTATCTTCAAAATAGAAGAAAAGATTTTAACTAGCATAAGTAAAGGTATACCCATATTCTAATAATTTGTATACAGATAGGTGGCGCTCACCTTAGCCTCTGGCCCCCAGGAGTTTCTACTGGGCGACGTCTCCCTTCTCTCTTTATTTCTGTCATTCTTTCTGCCTCTTTCTTTACCAGAGGCTGTCTTGTTATTGTTGTTTCTACTTGGCGACGCATCTTTGCTTCTTCTCCATCCAGAAGATCTGCTTGGGGAATTACTGCTTCTGGAATTTTGAGCACGGCTTTTGGTGGGAGATACGCTTTTTCTGTCTCTACTATCTGGAGATTCATTTCTTGAGCGACCCCGAGATCGTGCCGGACTTTTACTTTGAGAATTCACCTTGTCCCTTCTCCGTTCTGGTGATCGAGATTGGTGTTGCCCTCTGGGAGAGTTTGTATTGGCAAACTGATTATAGATGTCACTAGTATATTGCGCATTCAACGCCTCTTTTCCAAGCATGGACGCTAAAGTTGAGTCAAAACTTTTAGAGGACAGTCCCATCTTTCTGGCATCAAAACTAGTATTTGTATTCTGCACATACTCGCTGGGGGTGTATTTCTCAAATGATCTGTCATAGTCCTCAGGCTGAGATCTTTTAGAGGAACTACTACCCATGTCTAATCTGTCTAAATCAAATTTACTGAAATTAGCCCTCTTGCCATGCTTCTGTGCCTTGCGGAGAGCTTTGTAATACTGGGTGCGGTATTTCTTACCATTCCTCTCTGGACTTCTACCAGACCTGCTACTCTCCTTGGAAGTGTTTGTGATTACTGAATCTTGTTCCCTGGATCTCTGCTGGTGAGTGTAAGTATTATCATTTGATGGAGATTTGTGATGATTATTCTGATATTTGGCACTACTGTTACTTGGATGGGATGCAGTTTTCTGGAATGGTGAGGATGTGATGAACTGGCCTGAGTACTGAGCTAGTGGATCAGTTGAGGATGCAGTGGAATCAAAGTCAGAAAACTGAGACATTGCCCTGCCTTGTATGCCTGACATATTATCAAAGTTCACACTCCTTTCTGGAGATTTATACCTATAAGCAGACTCCCACTTATCAGTCGACTTTCCTCCACTTTTGTTGTGTCTCTCTGGTGACCTCTCAGGGTTTAAAATAAATAAATTTTTCCTGGGATCTCTCGGAGTCTTCTGAACATCTCGTGGGGATACTGAACCATCTCTCATATGATTAGGCTTATGTCTGTCATTTACACGTTCACTCATAGATGCATCATTTTCAAGGTCTAAAATATTAATCTTTGGTACTGCTGGATGACTGCTGATTGGACTAAATTCACGTTGCCGTGGAGATTCATGTTCTGGCACTTCAGGAGTTGGAGGCAATAACTCTCCAAAAGCGTACCTCATCTTTGGTTTCAGCACCGTTGGGGTGGAGGAATCTCTACTTTCCTGGTAAGACACGGAGGTATCTTGACTATCTGAATAGGAAGACATATTGGTGGTCGGCCGGTCATTCACAGACCCTAGAAGTGAGTTAGTGTCCACACTTTGGCCAGTCTTCTCTGGAGAGCTTATGCTATCAGAACTGTCAAAGCTGTAGTTGCCCAGCTTGGCTTGTTTTAGTCTTTCTTTAAATTCCTGCAGTTTCTGTCTTGTGGAAACCTCCTTAATTTCTAGCTGCTTGCTCAAAGAAAGAACACGGCTCTTCTCAATCTTTGATTGCAGCTGAAATAATAAAAGAAATTGAATATATGAATATATGAATGCACTTCAATTCTAAAAATCAATTAAAAGAAATTGTAAGCATAAGAAAGAAAACTGTATTTTACTTCCTTTACAATACACAGAAAAACTGTTGTCTGGCAAAGGTTACAATATGAATGCATTTTAATTCTAAAAATCAATTTTTTTGGAACATGTTAATTCTTTGGATCTCGATTTTCAACAAGGTTCTGGGTCCTACATTCTTATCATACCTTTTCCTGATCTTTATCCTGTTGAGACAGCATATCCAAAACTTGTCTGGAGTTGAGCTTGCCATCTCTTTTCACATACTGCTGAAACTTTTCCTCCAAACTGCTGCCGACTCTGCGAGGGCTTTCTGTCCTTGCAGAATTGTGAAGAGCCTCTTTCTGGGACTTGTACGCCTCTTGGATTTCTGACTTCTGCTGCCTTATTATTTTCAGTCTGCTGTCTAACTTTGCCTTTGAATCAAATATATGAAATTAACAAATTAAATATTCTGAAGCATAGTCACAAATTATTACCCAAAGATTTCAATTATGTTTGTAATGCCAACAGTCTCCACCAAAAATATCTTACAACATCAAACATAATAATCATATTATTTATTGTAGAATTCATACAAGCACGTACCTCTCTTTTCCTGAGTTGTCTTTCAACCAGTTTCTCCTGAGCCAGTAGCTCTGGGTCTGCACGGCTTTGCTTCAGCTGGATGAGGTAAGATTGCTGGTTTGTCACCTGAGTTCTGGTGGCCTCCAGTTTATTGCTGATAGAAATAACAGAATAATAGACGATGTGGGTAAATCTCAAACTATTCAGGCCCGCAGCTGGAGGGGGATTCAGGGGTGTTTAAACAAACTGCCCTTTTTGCTTGGAAAAGTTTGAAATTGCTGGTTACAGGCCTGCCATTCCAAAATACTTTGCTTAAACATTAATGAATAAAGTTTAAAAAAATAAATGTATAAAAACTACAAATTTACAAACTAAATTTCTAGTTGTTTCTGGTACTTGTAGTCAATGGAATTTGATTTATTATAACAACCCTCTTAAACAACTAAAATTTACAAGCATATATCATTGCAGTAGATGCCATATTTGATGATCAGATCTCAACACAGTATTCGGAGCACATTCACAACTACTGCATTCACAGCCAAATCAACACCAACAGATGTCATAGACATGCTTCAAATGTTATACATACCTTAACTCCTTCTCAATCAGTTCTAACTGCTGCTCTTTGATGGAGGCCTGGAATTCTATCAAGTGGTGCTGCTGCTCCAGCTGGTCCTCAAATGTCTTCTCAACTTTCTTGTTCAGTTTTTTAATCTCTTTCTCTTTCTTTCTTTCAAATGGAGACTTGTATGTCTCTGGTGTTTTCCTAGGTTTGCTGTCTATGGTGTCTGAGTTCCTGGGAGAGGATGCCGAGGGAGTGGGCTTGACTGGGAAAGAAACAGGAGATTATCACTTAATTCCAACTTTGCTTGAAAATATTCATGACATGTAAGTGTTAAGCAGAATTTTTTAAAGAATCAAAATATATATTTTGGTGAGCAGCCCCGAGTGAGACCAAAAAGACTGGATATCATTCCAACAATTTTAATTGAAAAAGCAAAATTTGATCTAGGAATCTTAAGTTGGAATTTGATATTATACATCACTAAAGTAGCTTCAATACAAATTCAATCACATAATTACCCAAGTTGTTCATCATAGGGTCCCTGTAGATATCTATATAGTCCATGTCTGTTGGCCTCTCATAGGCTGTGGCTGGTCTTGCCAGCTGGTCATCAGATACTGCCCGCTGAATCTTGAACACGGCTGGGCTGCTGAACGGCCTGTTAAATATGAGATAATTACACAACAGGGTCAATATAAGGAATGAAGATGTAGAACAAAACTGTGGCAGAGTTTGTTCCATGTCTGAAATACTCGGAGCCAGTTCCAAGTACAGTTTCAAGAAATGATTTATTCTGTTTCATTGCCTACTGATACTTAGCACTACAGCACACAATTCTTAAAAGCACTGACGTCTAAGTTTTGTACCTCAAAGCATGGCTACTCTCCATTACAAAGATATTAATAACATGCCCATCACCTGGTGTCTGCAATCTATAACTTCTATTTAAAAATTCTAGCAGGAATTTTTCAATTTCATATCTTTTTACAGTATTTGATGGTATAAACTGTTTATTTGAATATGCAGCAAGCATGTCTTACAATGTATCAACCTACCAGATGGAAAAGCACTATACTATCAAGCTTTGAAAATCACACCTAATTTGAATATTAAGACCTCCTTATATACTATGAGAGAATAAGGTGGCATCACAGAACGTGATGAGAAGAAATTAAGTCATGAAATTGATGTTTGTGATCATAACATTACTAACAAGACATCATACAAGGTGATTTGTAGCAAATCAGATATCTTATGGGATCGTAACACTGTGCATACACTGAAAATGCTGTGCTCAGAGATAGTGAGAGTGAAAAAACAGTCAAAATATTGGAGTGAAGTTTTTCAATACCATACTTCTTTCAGTCAACAGCAGTGCAATATGATATCAATTGCCAATCTTTTGTAAGGTATTTTCAAAACAAATGATTCAAATATTAGTAGTTTGCAAATCTGCAATAGGGACTGGATTTTTCCGATATATTTTTTCTCTTTTAAAAAATCACATGTTCTTTAAGTGTCAAAAGTTATTATCTTCAATATCAAATCCTTGTCACAAAACACGAAGGCCAAACTGATTGTGACTGTGCTTATGTAACACTGCAAGTAATAAATTCGTATTCTGTTAATAATGAAATCATATAATATGCTTTTGAGAGAAGGTGGATAAAAATTCACAATTAGAAATGCAAGCACTACATGTGAAGCTGGTAAAATGTGAAAATGATAAAATGTGAAGCTCATGAAAATGTGAAGCTGCTACACTGTCAAGCAGGAAGTGACAAGCATTATATTGGTTGGCTGAAAGCAAGTATTATAACACATTTGAGGCATATCCTGGGGAAATTACTAGAGGTGATAGAAGTATATGAAACTCTCTATTTTGAAGTTTAATCTAAAAGAGCCTGGGGACTAACATTCTAAACACAATAACTCTGAGTAGAGGCAGAGGTTGACAGCTTTAGATAACCTTGAATCAACAAGGTAACTCAGGGAATGAGATCTTTTTTCTTAAGATATAAAATAAGCTGACAGATAACTATCAGTCAATATTTGGGATACTATTGGAATCTATTTTATGATTTAGAAAGGTATTTAGGGATGCATTCTAGGATGACCTCAGATGTGCAGGTAAAACAGTAAAAGAGTAAGTAGGCAATCTGTGAGGAGCCTTCTCCACTCTGCACTAACCCAGCAAATCTAATCTTGTTGCTGTAATAGAGAAAAAATAAACAAAATACATTCTTAGAAACTTAGTGTCTCAAATCAGCATAATCTTCTCTGAAATTAAATGATATTATTGAGGCATGAAATTATTGCTGAAAATACACAGAAGTTATAAACACTTTGTTTTTTACAGTGTAATATTAAAAGCATTAAGTAAAATATAAAGCAAAATAAATTGTCACAATGATGCCACTTCACAAGCATATAGCTTAACCTTTACTGATCATGATCATAGTCCAAGGCCAGATGCCAGAGAAGACAAAACAAGTAAACTAGTAGAAACTTAAAATCAAACCAGCAAACCTCATATACTTAAGTTATGTCTTAAAAGCACAGAAGTTATATTAATCATAAGCCAATCCCTCTGCAAAAAGATGTTTTGCCTATTCACCTCCAAAGATATTTGTCAACAAACATAGAAGTTCTATTCACATATTTATTCATACACTCCTTTATGTATCTATAATTCCTGTACCTTGGCTCCTTCTCTGCCTGTCCTGGCATAGTCTCGTCAAACCCACTGGTCGCTGTACTGATCCCTGAGGTGTTGGAGATGGGCCGACTCTTCACCTCCTCTGACAGGCTGACCCCAGTCCCATTATTCTGACCACCAGCATATTTCTTCATGATCATCTCCTTAAGGATGCGCAGACATTCCCGGAACTTGAAGGGATCTGTGACACCTATTGTGATGTATATAAGTTATGTTATAATACCCAAACAAAGTACAGAAAACTTTACTGCAAGTTTTTAATCTAAGCTGATATCTATGGAAAGATCATTACATACATAACTTCTAGTGTAAAAGGATGGCAATTTCATGTCAAGTACCTCTAGCATTCCTAATAAATTTTAAAATTTACACCACCTAGCTGTTAAATGTAATCCTAACTTACAGTAAATATAACAATTAACTGAAAGTGCACGGAGACAAGGATAGATGCAGATGATGGCAATATGTACATACAAAATGTGTCTGTACATAAAAAGTGATATTATCCATACCTGCAGTGACAGGGTCCTTCACTTTCCCCACTATGTACTGCTGCATCAGCCGGCTACAGGTTATCTTGTCTTCGTCTGTCAGTTTCTCCATCATGGCAGCCAGCGTCTCACCGTCCATGCTCTGGTACTAAAACAGAACCACAACATGGAACAACAGTTATTTTGAAAATCAGCTTTAAGCTATACCTCCACTTTGTCATGATAAATGTGCCGTGAAGTAAATGTAGTTATGTGAGTTCTATGTTTATCAGTGTATACACATTTAATGTGCTGAAGCATTATGCTTCAACCCCAGCACTAGTATATCATAAATTATTAAGCAACCCCACTCTCACAAAGAATAACAAACTATATTTATAGCTTCAACATTATTATGCTCACCGAGGGCATCCAACATAATCATCACAAAACGGTTATGGATTTAAAAGCAATTGGCATTGCAGTATCAATGTAATAAAAAGATAAAAGGATTATCCAGTCTAATCCTCGACTGGAAAAGTTAGCATAAACTGATAAAGCTTTTCACCAACAAATGCCTCTGACTAATAAAACCACTGATTTGAAAGATGTGGTAGTAAATCAGAAAGTATCCATCAAAACAGTAGTCACAAAAACAAGACTTAGGCTCCGTTCACATGACAAGTCTATTTTCTAAAAATCTTTTTTCTATTCGCGGTATCTTGTGATCACGGTCTGTGCCCCGAATACCACACGGCGTAATTTCTGGCAGCGCGAGCCAGTTACTTCCAAAGCTGTAATTAATTCTCGGCTGCGCTCGGAGTGATCATAAGATACCGCAAATAGAAAATAGATTTTTAGAAAATAAACTTTTCATGTGAACGGAGTCTTAAATCTTCTAGACAGTTAATCCCATTATAACATTTTTCACCATCAACTATTTACTAATTGAATCGATAATGATATAATTTTTTTTATATCAACTTACCTGTAAGGCCTTTAAGTTTGCTACCTCTGCTTCAAGTTCTGCTATTCTTTTCCTTAATCTTTGGATCATGGATTTGTCATCTATCTCTTCATTTTTCCTAGAAAAAAGGTAAAGTATTACAATGTCTCATGGTTCAAACTTATACAATATGCACACCTTACTCAAACAGACTCCTTGCAAACTCAGTGCATACAAAACCAAATGTACATTTTCAAATTTAAAAAATGTTAATAAAAATATTTAATTACAGCCAACTAAGTGCTTATATTAATTGTTTATTAAAACAAATAAATATACTTACTTAGCATTATTGGCAATACAAGCCACCCTCTGAGCAAATCTACAGGTAGAGATGGTCTCGCCGAGGTTCTCTTCCTCCATAGACAGCGTAGCTATCATCACAGTTAGACAGTTACCACCTGGGATAGAAGGTAGAATACATTTGATCTATTTGAACTAATCATTAAATAATGTACAATTAATTGCGTTAATGGCTTCTTTCGCTTTTGAATGGTAAGTACACAGTTATGCAAGCAGTATTTTTCAATTCTTATTATTTATAATTATAATAAAAATAATACTGTTAACAAGCATCTGCAACACTGTAATGGTAAGGAGATTTTAACTATCCATACTTGCAAATATAATAACAGAGAAGTGTATTTTAAAATATATTGCAACACATAAAAAACATGCACATGCATGCACACACATGCAAACACATATTTCAACAATTATACTTGTAGTTGTTGTGGTAACAGAGCGAGAACCTACCCAGACTGTCTCTCAGCATCATAGTGAGTAGAGAGTTTCTATAAGGAACATGTGTAGAATATCTGCCATCAGAGGTACTAGGTCTGCCTCCATAACCACTGTAGATACTGCCAACCCAGCTGGAAAGGGGGAGGTTATAATGCCTTAGAGAATATAGAGGATGATACAGATAGTACTGTGTGTGTGTGTGTGTGTGTGTGTGTGTGTACGTGCAAGTGTGTGTGTAATATAAGTTAAATGTCTGTATGATAAAAAACATGACAGAAAAGAAATTTGATGTAATATGTATGTGTAACTGAATTATGATGAATTTTAAGGAGGAATTTTAAAATTGCATTAATTTCTGTTTGACTTCAAACCTTGTAAGAACATTTCTTAAGGTTAAGATTTTATTGATTTTTTAAACCAGTAGAACTATAATATCTGGCTTAGCAACACAGATATATAACATTAAAGAGCTGAAGTTCAATTCAAGTGCATGAACATAACAAAGAGGAGTTTCAGGTCAATCAATAGCCAAAGACCTCAAGACTAAAACAAATATAAGACCAAATGAGCAGCAATGTCAAATATTTTCACAAATCCTTCATGCTGTTTGTCTGCCTTCATAACGTAATGTCCTGTTTAAATACTACAGACCAGAACTTCTATAATAACCATGCACAGCCCAATATCACTATTTGCAGACCTTTAGAATACAATAATAGTTTTCACTATCAGTGATTATTCATGTGAGAAATCATAGAAGAGCTCATTGAAAGGAAATCAATCAGCTCAATGGCCCCAGTGCCTCTAGACCAGAACAGGTGTTTAATACTAAATGCAAGTAAACACATTTGTTTTGAGAGAAATCAGCCGGGGTAAAAATATGGATACAGTGTAAAGTAGGGATTAAATAAAAGTCCATAATACACTGACTGGGGGACATAACTGAATTAGAATACTTCATACTGAATCAAGTGGCCTCCTTGGTTTAATATACTGATGTTCAAGTTTACAGGATCCGTATATCACAAAAATCTAAGCATCTAAGATAACTCCAGGTATAGAGTGACCCCAACAGAAAAAAATGTTATTCTTACACAACAGTTCACAAAATCAGTGCAAAAGAATTGCACTGTGCAAAACAATGATTTATAATTCTTATAACTCCACACAAAATGTTCACCAAACAGAAATGAAAACAGCAAGGGTGAAAAATTAAAATCAACGTACTAGTGAACATTAACAGGAAATACAATATTTTGCAATAAAACAACATCAAAATTGAGTGAGATGTCCAACCACTCCTCTCACATCCTCACCGCTTGTTTACAGGTGCTGATCTATAAGACAGCAAACCACAATTATCTTTAAAATGTACTTTTTATCATGAGTCAGTATATATTTTAGAAGAATCTGCCAACATATTGTTTAAAATATAGACTACATAATTTCAATGTACCAGTTTCTCAGTATTATGCTAATGCAAATATTAAAACACCTGTATTTTGGTCAAACATATATATACAAGATTAAACACCAAGCTTAAACAATGAAAGCATTATAACTAAGATATAACATATATAAATATAAACAATTATAAAAATGGTTAATGTGAATTATATGTGAATAATATAGATTATTGAACACTTGTTGACAAAGCACTCAAAGATACACAAATAGAACCAAAATTTGTATAGCTTTTCCTGGTCTTTATTCTCCCAAAAAAAGTTGGTTAAAACATTATTATTAGTAGTCTGAGATTAATAAAAGTTTAAATATTTTTCATCAGATCAAAATTTCACGTCAGGTTATGGATCTTATATAAATAGATATAAATGATAAGAAATTAATATAAATTCAAAAGCCAGACATAAACACCAGATGCACCTCTAGCTCTTATTGGGATATCTCTAGCTCCATGCTGGCAGGTTTATTAGGTAAGTTACACCTGGCGCGAGCTGAAGCACATCTAGCTTTGGTAATATAATTAACAAAAGGGCGCATGGCATCCCAGAGCCCAAATCTGTGCTTACTATATGTACTCAGAAAATTTTACTTATCCTAGTCTGAAGTTCAGAAATTTAATTTCAGCCCAATGTTTCCTGGAGCATTTTTCGTAGCTTTTCCATATGTCATTTTTATTTATTTTTTTCTGTAAAAAATGACAAAATGTACATTGCACAGATTTCAGTCAAACATTTTCCCAATTTTTCTAGACTCAAGTAGTAAGCACAGTGGTCTCAAGCAGACGAATGAGAAAGTTATAAATTAATAAAATGATTAAGGTTAAACATAAATGTGACTGACAACCAGTAGGCATTAATACCTGGCATTCCTACTCTTCCTTGGAGAGGTGTAGGGGTGACTAGAAACAAACAGTGGGTCAGTGTGGTCAGTGGTCAAATGACACAAATCAAACCAGACCTGTAGCCAGCAATTTCAGAGGGGGGGGTCTTTTGCTGAAGACATGGGCCTTTTACCATGAAACCTATATGTACTTAGATCAGATTTTACCTAGTGGCCCTTTTCCCAGCACAAAAGCTCACCCCCCCCCCCTCCCACCACCACCACCACCCTCACCCTGGCTACAGGCCTGGATCAAACAAACAATGACATTTTATTGATGCATGAATTTCAAGTCATACAAACATGTGCCATGCAGACAGCTTTTCCTTGCTGAATTATGCATTTCTCTAGTGCCTGTCAAATACACATGATCTTTCTTATCTTAAACAAAGATGGTTGGTTTAAATTCTGAACAAATAAAATGAAGATATAAATTTTCATACATCATAACAGACATCTAATTCAATCATCTTTAAGTCTAAGAAGGATCATAGTTATGGTGTAAATTTATTAAAACAAAAACACTTTCTAAAACAAATGTCAGGTAGCAAGCATTGGTGTTTTTAAAAAATTCAAATTAAACAACTTAAGCATTCAACCGTGACAAAAATAATCACCTGGAAATCTACAATACTGTAACTCTATAACTCGATCTCAAAATGTGTTGTGTATATGCTACATAAATCACAATGTGCTGTTACTCTGCTAATGCTATCACACGTGACTTACTTTCTATTTGCTGGTGTTCCATAACTGCTATGGCTCCTCATGGGCCCCTGGCTCCCTCCCTGGGCCTCCTTCTGCAGGGCAATGATCACCCCCTCCAGGTAGTGCAGGGACAGGTTGATGTATTTGGCCTCTGTCAGCTGTAACCCAGAGACCCCCGTCTTGGCCACTCTCTCTGAGCCAGCCAAGTCAACTAGGTGAAGTTTAGACCTAATAGTAGAAAGTTAACATTAATAAAACATCTCATTTCTACCTTAGGAACAAATGTTCTGTTGTCTGCATTTCAAAATCCAAGGAAATATACAATCATTAAAACCCAGTGAAACTTTGTGTACATAATTGACATTAAATGAAAACAAAATGTTCAGAAGTTATGGTAACAGTTATGATCAGAAGCACAGAACATGTTACTGAACAATATCTAAAGCCATTAGGAGCAAATTCAGCAATTAATATTTGTATTTATTTTTTATCATTATTATAATACATTATAATATTATTCAACTGTAATATGATTCATAAATGGGTCACATCATTTCATATTTTGTTTATATATACCCATCATTTATAGTAGATATAACAATAAATAAGCACTCACTTGACTACAATATCAGAATCAGGTTTTTTGGTGGACAGTGTCACAGTGAACACAGCATGTGATCTTGAAGACCTCTGGTTCATGGGTGTCTCTCCCACCTTCCTGTTAGCCTGACCCTGGAGGAGAAGGTTCTGGGCCACCTCTTCATTAGCAGCCATGTGACTGGACAAGTTCCTCACTATACAGCTGCCCTTGGGACCCTCCACTACTACCACCTGGGAGACATTATAGCAAAGTCAACTAACTGGGACAGGAGGTCAGGGGAAATGTAGTATAGACTTCTAGCATTTTTTTAGTATGCATACAATAATTATTATTATTAACCATGGTTGAAATAATGGACCAAAGAATGGAGAAAACAAATATCATATCGATTTTTCACAGATGAGCCAAATTAAAACTATAAATATTCATGAGTATGAATATAACATGATTCAGTCAAGTATTGACCATCACAGGAATGCAAATAATATTACAGTAGCTCCTTTATATCCCGTGCTGCTTTTTTTTTATGAAGTACATCTTACCTTTGGGAATGGTGTGACTAGTGAATTAGTTCTAGCCCCAGGGTTCAGCAAGTCATAGCCCACCTCCTGGTAGATTTCCATGTAGGAGATATGGACACTGATGTCTTCATCTTGACGGGACTCCAGGGCCTTGTAGATCATGGACAGTGCCCTGTCAAAGAAAAGATTTCAATTTAATTTAAATAATTTAGATTTTATAATTCTACAATTAAACTAATATGTTACAAGGTGATTTTAACTAGATTGAGTAGAGAAAAGGGCTTCAGTAAAATACTGAAAAAAAAAAGAAATCCTACTATGCACAGTCACTAACTTTAATCTAGTGTGTTCAAGGTATGAATTTGGATTGCTCCAGAGTAGTATAAGAAAATGTGCTAGTAAAACGAGGTCATTATCTCACCTTGGAGCCAGTCCTCTGTCTTCATATCTCCTGGCGCTGCCCTCCACAGTGAAGGTCTTCCCACTCCCAGTCTGGCCATAGGCAAAGATAGTGGCATTGTAGCCAGTCAGGAAATCTAAAATAGAATTTGAAATATAGTGAATCATTACAATGTAGGCAACTGTATTTAAAAAAAAAGGATTATGTACCCAAAGAACTTTGACTCTCTACAAAAAAGTCATCATTCCCCCAACTTACTTGCATTACAATGAAATATCATTCCATGGAAGAAACAACTAATTATAAAATCCTTCAAATATTAAATAAATCTATGATTTTTCAATGCCTTGAAATAATTTGAAAAAATATGAATTCCTGCTGCATATATATTTTCAGATCTATTCATATTACTTCTCAAACTTACGATCTACAATATCCTTAGCTGCCGTCTCAAACACCTCCTCCTGGACAGTGCTGGAGCTGAACACAGTGTCAAACTTGAACTCATGGTTTACTGTGCCTGTGTTAGCGCGGGTCTTGGTGGGGGAGGTGTTATAATCCCTGTTCTGTGCCGTACGCAGGTACACCCTGTCCTTGGTAACATCAAAGTCATCATAAGCATTTTTACAAGGTTTGATCCTTGCAAAAGTCTTGATGGTGGGCATGACTGTTTGATTCTGAGCTGATTCTGAAATGAGAGTAGAAATTCTGAATCAAAGCATATATGAGGAAATTTTAAAATATATTATGTCAACCAGCCTTTTCACAATCTACTTGGTGATTTTTCTAACATACGCTATTTGGTGTGTCTACCTGGGTCGGGGGGGGGGGGGTTAGGAAGGCCATGTTACATGTATATGTTCAAAAAGGTTCAAATGGATCCAATTTCGATGTACATGCTTACATTTATTTTCCCTAATAAAAGGGTGCACGTTTACAAACTAACATGTTTATGGTTTAGGGATAGTGCTTTGTCTGCTGGGTGGTTTGAAATGAACGGAAGTATGCAATGCAGCAGTGTAGCGTTCACAGACGAATGTATGCTCTCGTTACGTTGTTACTTTTTATTTCAATTAGCACAATTAAGGCAGTGTCTGATTTCCATCATTATTTTCAATCAATACAGTTGTTCCCACACAATCTGACAGTGATGAACACTGCACAGAAGGGATTTAGTAAGGAGTATGCCAAATGCCAATTAAGTGCCTTGAATGTAACCGCGAAGTTCGAACTCACGTCTCGAGCGCCGCTTACAATTAAAACGATTTTAAAATAAAATTATGAGCTGAGAGAAATATGAAACAATAGAACCAATTACCTAAAAGTAAGCTGAAGTTGCTCCTAAGTCTTCATTTTGACCGTCTTTCGAGACATTTTAATCCAGGCTCTCAACTAGCTGACACCTGTTTATGCTCCGCCATAATGTTGTCAACGCTCATGGTGGGTAGATAGGGAAACAAGCTTGGCGAAGAAAACCCAAACTTTTTAAATTTTAACAACAACTTTCTTATCCACATTTTCTAAAAAGGTACCCATGTAAAAGTTATTGGAAATTAAGAATCTTTCGAGTAAACTATTTTTGGAAATTAATGTTTATAATCATTTGTGAAATATATCTTCAACTACTTCATTCTGTCATTTTTATGCACGAGGTCAAGGTCAATTATTTATTTTGCCTTTTACTCCTCAGGTGTTACACTAAAACCCGAATATTTGAGGTAAGGATTTCTGCCATAATATCAGTTAAATTGAAGGTATTTGAATTAAGCTATAAGTGATGTCAAGAAATGAAAATTTATGAGCATCAGCAAATTAAAGGCAGTTTATGCTTGCGGTCTTTCAGTGTTTAGAGTTCAAATGTGATTGATGACTTGAAGAGAAGAGTGAAACTGAAAGTATATGCATGTAGCTATGATTATATTTGACAATTTTTTTCGTCAGATGCTATGGGGCATGCATTCACCAAAGATCCAGAGTATGTATGTAGACAATCAAACTGCAGAAGACTGGTGGGAGATGAAGGGAAGTTTGGACATCTTGAAAGAAAAGTTTATGAACTGGCGTGTCAATGTAGGGAACAGTCTTCCACATCTTGCTACAGCAGTGATGACATGTGCTCCTTATTCACAGCTTATGATAAACCTTCCACAAGGCTGATGCAACAAAACTACCAGCAGTGGAAAGCTGTGATGGGAATTGGTTTTCATTTTATCCATCTCCGAAGAAAGAGAGTAATTTACATAAAACCTCTTGATGACTTCCCTCAGTTTGTGACAGACTTTAGAATCAGTTTTGATGGAGCTGATCTCACACTTTTCCAACTCCTGCAGGTATTTACTGAGTGTTTCTTTTGGGGGATGCAAGTGGAGTTGCTTCCTGTTTGTAGTATTGCTGAGTGGAAGATAAAGAACAGGATTCATGCTGTAACGGAGCAAAAACAACTTCTTGTAGGCGATGTCTGTCATCAGTTAAAGAAGAGATTACCAGCTGATGGCTACTGTATTTTAGGCATTACCTGGACAGATCTGTATCCATGTGAAGATCTAAACTTTGTACTTGGTGAAGCCTCTCTTCTCAACAGAAGTGGGGCACTAAGTTTTGGCAGATTTGAACCAAAGACTTTTGTCAGGGGAGAAACACGGGATATCAGTTCAATTGATGCTAAACTTTTGTGGAAATTGATAAAGGTTTGTTTTCTTCATTTGTATTTCCAATATATGGAGTACAGTGTGCATCATATATTAACTGAAACATGTTTTTTTTACTTTTGATCATTTAGTTTTTGAACATGCAGTAAACAAAAAGTGATATAATTATTTAAAAAATAGCAAACTAAAATTGTCATGATTGGTAACAATTATATCAAACAGTATTGATTTCAAATTCAGTTACACATCTTCGGTGATTATTTAGCTACTAACAATCATCATAATAAACACTATAAAATTGAATATGTTTAACTAAGTATGTTGATCAATATTAATTTTTAAATTTATAATTTTAGGTTCTTTGCCATGAAACTTGTCACATATTTGGGCTACAACACTGTGTTTTCTTTGCCTGTGTAATGAATGAGAGCAAGTCTATGGAGGAAGCGCTATCACAACCATTATTTCTGTGTCCAGTTTGCCTTAGAAAATTACAGAAAGCTTGCAAGTTTGACATCAAGGAGAGATATTCCAAATTACAACACTTCCTAGTGACTTTGAACAGTGTTATTCCATATGAGAGGTTTGAGCAGGCTGTTGAATGGTTGGAAGAGATGATGAAGTATCTTGGTGAATAAGGTCTAAAAGGTTGTTTTTGTGGGCTCAGCAGCAGGCATATTCACTGAAATGGCAGGGAATGATCAAGTATTGCTAATTGACTACTTTTTAAGCAGATTGTATATGCTTTAGCAAAGGGTAATATTAGGATGGAAATCTGTAGCTGGTTATCTACAATTAAATGAGATTGTATTGTTTAGCTTCCCAAGAATGGCACTTTGATGGAGAGCTTTAAATAGTTTTTTACTTCATCATCATGTGATTTGTTGATTTTTATATGAACACCATTTTCCATTGAAGGTTTTATTAAGATGTTGAATTTTATGTTTTTGTTATATGATTTTGGTTATGTTTTAACATAATATAATATAATATATTGTATATTTATTAAGTGCCATTTTCTTTTATGTCCTTTTTTAAAGACACTAAGATTATATTTACAAACTTTCCACTACAATGTTATGTTTTGTTACAATAGTTTCCCAGAAACACAGTGGACTGAATTAAGGCCATGATTGCCTTATTATACCTCAGGACACAGTGTGATATATAGTAAAAATTCTAAAATATATATTCATAATAAAATAAATAGTGTATAAAGTATGGCCCTTTTATTAAGCTGGCAACCAGAACCTTTCTTATATTGGTGACAATGCAGTGCTCTACAGCTGAAAGCATGTGTACAAAAGGGTTTAGCAGGACCTCTATATTTAGGGCAGGAATATGTAGCGTATTTTATCAGTTTTAAAAGATGAAAAAATATTTTCAAATTTTTTATTTGAGGTATCTTTTTCAAATCAGTAGGTGAATTAACATGGTTGCTTGCATGCTTAAATTGCTAATTAAGAAGAGAAACTTTAAGCTTTAATTAAACCACACTATGACCTTTAACTTTACAACATGCCAATGAGTAAGTATTCACTTTCATTTCTTGATGACTTTCTATGTTAACTTATTTATAACTTTGAAAGTAGAGATCGATACTTCAGAGTCATTGCATCAAAGTCAAAATCATTCAACTTTTTACGGTTAATTTATTTATTTTGTTATTTTATTTATTTATTTATTTGAGAGAGAATATTTCCATCTGGATCCATGGATCTTTCTTTGAAAAAATTCATTTAACAGCAGCAATTCCCTGTTATATGTCAGGATCAATAAAAGCATACTGATCATGCACCAAGTAAACTGGCAGAACAGGGGAGCAGAATATTTAGCAGGATATATAGCACAGAGCATTGGTTTCATGCAATTCTGTCATATTTAATTATTAGATTTATTTATTTATTTATTTATTTATTTATTTATTTTTGGTATAGTTGTACACTCAACTGGTTAACGTTTGATGCAAATATTTATAAAGATGTTTTGTTGTTATCAAAGTTATTTTCTTGGGGTTGTTACTTATAAGTTAAGCCCAGTTAAGTTGAAATGATACATAACATTACGATGGACTTCAGATTTTTCCCAGTGAATAATATGCCATGGGAGAGACGTCAAATCCAGTAGACCAGTAATAATGAGAAATTAAGCTTTTTTATTCAGCAAGAAAGAAAGAATGGACTTTGTGATGTAAAGAAAGGACAAAGCTTGTTTGGTAATTATCCAACATATTTCTGTTGGGAATGTTCTAATTAAAGGGAGAAAATTGTTCTTGGAGGTCCAGACCTTGGACATTTCCTTGGCAATGAGAGGTGCATTGCTGTTCTTAGTTAATGATGGTGATTGCTTCCCCAGCTTTATACATCTACATGTATACATGTAGAACAAAGTATATCATCCATCCCTTTTATATAATGTAAAGTTATTCAACTTTTGGTTGCTTGGGGTTGGGATAATTCTCAATCTTTCTTATAATTAACATTTAGCACAACTTTTGAGATCTTATGTATCACTCCTTGTTTTGACGGACTGCGATTCTGGCTCTTCCATCAAGCTTACCATGGCAGTGAACTATCAGCACGCAAGTTAACCATATTCCATTTGAAATGGCAGTACTAAAAGTGTTTGTAAGGCATCAATTTCTGCCATAAAAAACGTTTAATAATCAAAACATTTAAGATTAACGCAAGCCTATTCAATACAGGTGTAAAGGGGGTTGGATCCAGGATTATTTGATATAGTTAAACTTTGTCTGCGTTAATCCGAAATTGGTGGATTTACTGACCTAAATATAATACTCATAACTCCAATTTTTCATCAAAAATTATTTTTTACCAAATTTGCCTATTAAAACGCCTGTCNAAGTATATATAGGGCCCAGATAGAGGTCATGGACGCAGGCCTGTAGACGTTTTCAAAACGGAGAACCAGACTCGGTTGTCACCTTTGTTACATTGAAAACCACGTAAAACGATGTATACTAGCCTTCCAAAATGCAAAAAGTAAAAAAAGCTCGTAAGTATATAGTAATAAAAATCGTTATAGCTAGGTTTCTTTTATATTCAAAAAACGTTCAAGTTGACAGCTGAGCGTGCGGAGAACGGGCTGTGTATGCGTAAAAGCTACATTAGTGCACTGAATGCGGTTATTTCAATCAGAATCAAAATCAGATGTAAAATATAACAATTTATAAGATGTAATTGGCAGTTTCCATGATTTATATTTACAAATGGACTCTGCTTTTTAGGAAATGATAAAATATATTGTTCTAAACAGTCCCTACTTTTAATTATTCTATACTTAAATCCCTTTGGTGACGTTTACATATCGTTTGCATTTTGAGTTTATTTTAATAAGTGTAATTGTTGTTCTGAAGTATGCCTTGTTTATCCCACGTGTCAAAACGAACTAGCCTGTGCTGACGCGGGACACTACTGATATGATCAGTTGTCATGGGTATAGAGTAGGTGTCCCTTGTCAACTTCTTTTAAAATACCTTTGATTATGCATGGACAGGTAAGTTGATTGCCCCTGTGCTGACGCGTGACGCTACTGATAAGATCAGTTGCCATGGGTATAGAGTAGGTGTCCCCTGTCAATTTCTTCTTAAATGCCTTTGATTATGCATAGACAGGTAAGATGATTGCCCACGCTTAATGTAATCTTGTTTCATTACGTATGGCATTGTCTGAAAATCCTATAAAAGCCACGCTCAATCCACTACCTGTCTTCATTCATAGCTTTGGCTCCCTGAACATACATTGAACCGAGCGATTCGACGAACAAGCGATTCGAAATCTTTACCGCAAAGATGCCTAAGAGATATCCATGTGGCGATTGCAGGAAGGACACTGCCTACACTTTGTCCATATTCTGCCAGTCCTGTAATTCCTGGTTTCATAAAGAATGCCAGGGGTTAACAGAGACAGATTTCAAGGCTTTGGGGCAAAGTAAGCTAGGGTATTGGTGCAAAAGTTGTAATTCAACCCCAGGTGGAGATTATGACTTTCACCAAGCCCTGCTGCGTCTTAAAGGTGTTGTCCCAGATAACCTTGAAGAAGCAGCACGACAAGAAGGCATTTTCATGAAGATTTTTGGGGTAAGTACAACTCATTTTCAAGGCAACCTTCACCATTTCTCTGCTGGTGAAGGCCTTACTGTAGATTCTACTGCAGTGGACATCTTGGTGTTATGTAGGGGCGTCCCAAAAGGTAGAAAACCAATCCGCGTCTCTGGTAACGGCAGTTTGTTCCATTCTGTTTCTGTTGCTCTTTGTGGTTCCGAGAGATTGGCAAATGAGCTTCGTGTCCGTTGCAGCGTGGAAATGTCTGAAAATGAAGGGTTCTATAAGCTGCAGCACACTGACAATTACTGGGAGGCCCTGAATGCTGATTTCAATGATGCGCGAATGGATTGTGTCAAAGGGAACGAATCCACTGGCTGGACAATTCACGCTCTTTCTTCTGTTGTTGGTCGCCCAATAATATCTGTCTATCCTCATATGAACGGATTACTCGATCCAGCCTTTGGATGCCTTGGCCAAACCTTTGAGCCAAGGCTACCGTTTAACAATCGTGTGACCCCAGTAGTAGTTATGTGGTCCCGTCTCTATGGTACCGGCGAGGGTACTGGTACTTGGACTCCGGACCATTTCGCTCCGCTTATTGAGTGTTCAGATAAGGAGAGTTCCCCAGTGCACGATCGTGAGGATCCTGAAACACCACCTCAGAAGCGGTCACGTAAAGACGCATCCTACATCACCATGTGCCTCCCAGTGACCGAGTCGGCACCCACTGACGCCTTCATAGATATTTCTGACGACGAAAACGGCGATTTTGTTTTTACTCCCGATTCAAACTCCGAAGGGGAAAGCGACTTGCCAGAAATGCTTGGAATAAGCATTACTAGATTTCAAGCTCCAGAAACGCTGTTAAGTATAGTTTGCAACCCACCGAAAGTCGAATCCAGTATACCGCGCGGAATAAAAGAAAACGTCTATTTTGTTGTAGACAACAGTGACAATCGAAAACGACATGAAAAAGGGAAGAAGAGTCAGTTTACGGATGACTGTGGGGTATGGGATAGCAAGTGTTCCTCTACAAAATCGTGTCATTATGTTCATACAGAGAGAAGTTTAAAATTCGTCATTGAGAAAAAAGGGAGTTATGGAACTCTCGTTCGTAAAGCCTGGACACCGTTAGTCCCTCAACCATTACAAAGTGAAATCCTCACACTAAAACATCATTACTCCACTTTAAAAAGACAAAGTGCCTTTAAGAGAAGAATAACCTGGCTTGAAAAAGTGCCCGATTCCCTGAAAGAAAGAAGCCCCTTGTCTGATTCTGTGGCAATAGTTGAGTATGTAGGATTTTGGCCGCAAATGGCTTCTGTTCATGGCAACTCCAAAAAATCTCAACGTGAGAAAAGAACCACATCAACTTAAAGAACGCGATGAGGAAGTCGTGTCGGATGCTTCAGCCAGGAAATATAATTCGCAGTTGGTGAAGGAATTCGAAGATCCTGAAAACGCACCACGAGACGTAAAGCGGGTTCAAAATACCAAGTACAAGCGTAACAGAAACGAGATTCCTCGCGAAAACCGTCGCAATAATGCCGATGACATTCAGAGATTTTTTCCTTCTACGTGGTGGGTTTCCCTGGTAGCTTTTTCAATAACAAATGCGCGTAAAGAGAGTTTTTCTTCTGCTACGTGGTGGGTTACCCTAGCAGTTTCCAAAATAAATAAATAAGTACCCTAGCAGTTTCAATAAAAATAAATAAATAAAAATAAACACGTAAAGAATTTTTTCTTCTGCTACGTGGTGGGTTACCCTAGCAGCTTTTTCAATAACAACGCTTAAAGACAACGCTTAAAGAGAGTTTTTCTTTTGCTACGTGGTGGGTTACCCTAGCAGCTTTTTCAATAACAAATGCGCTTAAAGAGAGTTTTTCTTCTGCTACGTGGTGGGTTACCCTAGCAGTTTCCAAAATAAATAAATAAGTACCCTAGCAGTTTCAATAAAAATAAATAAATAAAAATAAACACGTAAAGAATTTTTTCTTCTGCTACGTGGTGGGTTACCCTAGCAGCTTTTTCAATAACAACGCTTAAAGACAACGCTTAAAGAGAGTTTTTCTTCTGCTACGCGGTGGGTTACCCTAGCAGTTTCCAAAATAAATAAATAAATACCCAAGCAGTTTCAATAAAAATACGCGTAAGAGATTTCTAAAATGTGACCCCTGCGGGGCTCCGTAGTTTCTTCTGCTACGTGGTGGGTTACCCCAGCAGTTTCCAATAAATAAATAAATAAATAAATAAATAAATAAATAAATAAATAAATAAATAAATAAATAAACAGGTTAAAGTCCGAAAGCAATAAAAATGAACTCGTAAAGACTTATGATTTGTGATTCAGCCCATGTGAAAGATCTGCGACACTACGACCCTGGAAGATGGCCCAGTGCGGCGCTTCGACCAGTTTTTATAGTGATTGGCACATTATATTTCTGACCAGGTATCGGTTTTAAGTAATACTAATAGGTGAAGGGTTTATCTCTCAGCAGTTCCTTGATCGTGTTGCTTGCGTTTAGGGGGCGGGGTCTTTTCAGATTTGTGAGTCAGCCCATGTGAAAGGTCAGCGACACTACGACCCTGGAAGATGGTACAGTGTGTGGCACTACGACCTGGCTCCTACACCGCACCAGCATCAGAGCTAAAAGAGCACCGGCAGTGGTATCAAGGCGCCTCCGAAAGTTGCTTCCGATCAAAGAAGACTCATCTACTACCTATTAACGGTCCTTTTCAGGACCACCCACTTATCTCAGAAAAGGTTTACAATATGTTCCAATCAACTAGTATGCCCGCTTGAGAGTTGGTCTTGCTTTTTTATACATTTGGTGACCCTGAAAATTATCATCAAAATTGAGAGCACGAAGAGACAAAGGTTTCCTGAAGGGATCTGTTCAGGTAAAAGTATCCCAATGCCGAGAGGTGAAGGTCACCTTCCTTAAAGTATGAAATGTTGGGCCTCTTGAGTCGCGTGTAACTCCAAAAGCGCACACCCTCTTCATGATTTAAACACCCAAACCCAATATAGAGGTGCATTTCACATGCTGAAGTGTCATAAAATAAAGTTGAATGAATTCAATTTTTTAAAGCGTATATGTGTATAGAACAGAAACTGTCTCAATTTAAATAAAAATTAAATTGAAATAAAATTTAAGTCCATATTTTACGCAAAGAGCCATAAATGGCAACATGACGTTCCGGGTCATTTAATTTTAATTTTTATACCGCATTCCGATATATTTTGTAGTGGTTCAGTAAATTTGACATGACGTAAGGATGCTTTTTATATATATTTTAAGGGGCTTTGCGTCATAGACTAATACTGTTCCCTAAAAAATGGTCTTTGGCTACTTGGTGCAAGAGAAAACAATGTTTTCTTTTGCTGACTGAAAAATATATTGTGAATTCCATGATAGTTTGACATTTCTGATATACAATATTTGGAGCACGAGGGGAAAATAATTTATTTAATGTTTATTTTACTGTCGGTAGGGGCGAATCCAGGATTATATTATTTGAAGGGGGGGGGGGGGGGG